GAGAGGGAAATATTTCAGATTAAAGGAGATATAAGAGAATATATATGTTAAAAATGCATGATCTTTGGTTGAGTCCTAGCTTGAGGGGAAATGAGTGATATACATTTGGGGACATGTGGAGAAATTTGAGTATGAATTAGTTATTTGAGCAATAATGTCATGCTCAGTTGAGTGTCCCTTGTCTGAAATGTTTGGGACCAGAAGTATTTCAGATTTCAGTTTTTTGGATTTTAGAATATTTGTGTAGACTTTACTATTTGAGCATACCTAATTGAAAAATCAGAAATATGAAATGCTCCAGAAATATGAAACATTTTAAGTATGAAAACATTTTAAATATGAAACTTTTTTAAGTATTCAAAAAGTTTCAGATTTCAGGACATTTTGGAATTTCATTAGGGATGCTCAACCTGTAGTATTTTGATGATGTAGGTGTACTTCAATATGATTTGTGAGTACTTCATAATTTTGGAATACTATAGCTAGATAGTTTTTTCCAATAAAAGGTTTTCACTTTATGATTTCCATTTGCACATTTTCCCTGAATCTCCTACTGACTCAGATTTTTTGTATTTAGAACACAAGTGCTGCAAGCTGGGAACTGGTGCCTGAGTAGGAAAAGCAAAGGGCTTCTTGGATTCTTTGCCAAATTGCTGTTTAGCTTCAGAGAATAGTGGAGCTTTGCTTTAGCCCTAGTTAAGTACAAAATCCCAGTGGCCTGTTGAACTCTCTAAAGTCTTTTTCATTAAGAGCAAAGATAAGAGAGTAGTCTGTATCACTGCCTGTTATCTATGGATAAATGAAATACATCTCCCTAAAGCATTTCAGTTCAGTATCTTTCAGCAGCAGTCATTTTCTCTGTTTATAGATCAAATTTAGTTTGCCATAAGAACTGACACAAGTACCTTTTGTGTTTAATCTCTCTTCAGGTTTCTCTTTAAACAATCAAGTTTCATATGACCAGTGGAATTTGGACTAAGCAGGTGCAAATCTTTTTTACATGTTAAACTTGCCATTTCACTTGTAGATGCCATTAGGCCAGGTCTTCCATTGAAGCCACTAATATAACAAGGTACCAATTCAGGAATGATTCTCATCTTGCAGAGGGTTGTCAGTGCAGGTAGCCAGGTTTCAATAAATCCAATTTTCCTAGTAGTTTCAGTAATAAATCAATTAGAATATACCTTATTTTACTGTAGGAAAAAGTGTCATATTGGGACTTTATTTTTTAGTTGTCCCGGTAGCATTTTGTTACCACTCAAGTGGTATCGTGGTATCTCCAGTTATCTAAACTCAGCTGCAGCTTTACATTTAGCCCCTTTCTCATGATAATATTTTATTGCTAGAGATTTTGTACAGGAAGAAGACTGAGATTTTGAACATGCCATCTGAACCCTAATCACCTAGAGCTGTAAATCAGCAAGGGCAGAATGAGTTAGATATGGCACGTTTTTGTTGTTATTGTTTAGTCCTTCGGAAGGCTCATAAATAATTACTTGAAAAATCACTTCTAAATTTGCTGTGTTTGTGAGTTCAAAATTGCTAACGATTCATCTCTTATAACCCTGCTCCCCCTGCAGTAGGACAAATAAACAGAGGTAGAAGTGACTTCCATTCTCTCAGTGGCCTAAGGAATGAAATATTTGTTTCAGAGCACTCAGAGTAATGCCAACGGTGTGCATGTTTTGTTTAACATTTTAAGCAGAGGAAAGCCACATGACTGAAATGCAATCCATTTTCAAGTGTGTTGGGAAAAAGTATATTTCATCTCAGTAAATCTGGAGATTATCCTTTCATAGATGTCACTGCCGTTTCACAATCTGCATGACTAAAGCAATTGTGCTGTCAGAGCCATAGCTTGTTTGGACATAGCATCAAGTCTGCACTCACTGAGGTCCTGGATCTTTCTATCAGGGTGTCAGAAGGAAATTGAATGCAAAAGTGGAAACTTCGTTTTTGGTTTATGTTCTCTGTAAAAGATATTTTAAAACAATTATTGTTATGGACTTTAGGGGGATCCAGGGAAATTGGTTTCCTTAGACCTAGTCTAATGGTCCTGAGACTACTTCTTGTAATTCTCAGTTCTTCCATGGTAAAATATTGTCTTGGAAGCTTAGCCATTTCCTGAGGTTGTCTCTGTACCTGGGGTCCTTCACTTTCTCTTAACCTTTCACTTCTGATTCTTCCACCAGCTACTTGAATGTGCTAACTGCAAACATTGTTTCTTGACCTTTTCAAGAATTCATCAACAGAATAGTTTATACTTGAAAGGAGCCTGGAGGAGAGGGAAAAAGGGAAGGGGGAAGAAATAAGGCTGGTATGTTCTTTGAATTATGTGACAGTCCATTACCAACCTGTAAGATTGAAGGCACTGTTGCCATTTTCACAAATGAGATTTACTTCTCTTAAAAGGCTTTACTTTTTAGTATCATGTGTGTGCTATTTATTGCTCTTATTGCCTGTAGTTGTAGCTCATTCATTTTTAGAGGCAGTGTAATATTTCACTATATGGCAATATCTTTAAAATTCTGTTAATGGATCTTTGCATTGGTTTTTCCTGGTTTGAGAATATCTTGAAGAATGCTATTATGACTACTATTTTCATGCTTAAGCCCAGCTTTAGATATTCAGGCGTTTTTCAAAGTAACTTTACCAGTTTGTACTCCTGCCAACAGCATATGAGAACTCTAGTTGCCCCCATATACTTTCTTTTTTTTTCTTTTAAATTTATTTTTTATTAGTTCTAATCAGGTATACATGACAGCAGAAAGCTCTTCAATTCATTGCACACAAATGGAGCACAACTTTTCATTTCTCCGCTTGTACATGATATATAGAGTTGCACCACATATGCAGTCATACATGTACCTAGGGTAATGGTGTTTGTCTCATTCCACCATCTTTCCTAACCCCTCCATGCCGCCTCCCCTCCCCTTAGCCCAATCAAAATTCCTCCATTCTACCCACCCCATCCCCCATTATGGTTCAGCATCCACTTATCAGAGAGAACATTCTGCCTTTGGTTTTTTGGTATTGGCTTACTTCACTTAGCATTATATTCTCCAACTATATTCATTTACCTGCAAATGCCTTAATTTTATTATCTTTTAATGCTGAGTAATATTCCACCATGTATATATATCACAGTTTCTTTTTTTTTTTTTTTAGTTTACTTTTTTTTGGTTGTAGTTGAACATAATACCTTCATTTATTTATTCATTTATTTTTATGTGGTGCTGAAGATTGAACCCAGGGCCTTGCACATGCTAGGCAAGCACTCTACCACTGAGCCACAACCCCAATCCCTATACCACAGTTTCTTTATCCATTTATCTATTGAAGGGCATCTAGGTTGATTCCACAATTTAGTTCTTGTGAATTGTGCTGCTGAAAACATTGATATGGCTGTGTCCCTGCAGTAGGCTATTTTTAAGTCCTTTGGGTATAGACTGAGGAGTGTGATGGCTGGGTCAAATGGTGGTTCCATTCCCAGTTTTCCAAGAATTTTTCATACTGCTTTCCAGATTGGCTGCACCAATTTGCAGTCCCACCAACAATGTATGTGTGTGCCTTTTTCCCACATCTTCGCCAACACTTATTGTTGTTTGTATTCTTGATAGCTACTATTCTGACTGGCATGAGATGAAATCTTAGAGTAGTTTTGATTTGCATTTCTTTAATTACTAGAGATGTTGAACATTTTTTCATATATTTGTTGATTGATTGTATATCTTCTTCTAAGAAGTGCTTGTTCAGCTCCTTAGCCACTACATTTATTGAACTCAACTCAAAGTGGATCAAGGACCTAGGAATCAGACCAGAGACCCTGTACCTAACAGAGGAAAAAGTAGGCCCAAATCTTCATCACGTCGGATTAGGCCCCAACTTCCTTAATAAGACTCCTAAAGTGTAAGAAATAAAAATCAAGAATCAATAAATGGAATGGATTCAAACTAAAAAGCTTCTTTTCAGCAAAGAAATAATGAGGTGAAGAGAAAGCCTACATTTTGGGAGCAAATTTTTGCCACACACACGTCAGATAGAGTATTAATCTCTAGGGTATATTGCCGCAGTCTGGCTAGACACAAAATCACGAGCCACTCAAGCAGGAACAAACTTTATTATTTGAAAATGCCGCCAATGCCCCGTATGCCGCCGGGAACAATCCTGATGGACCCACGCGGTGTTCTCCTGGAACCCAGAGGAAGTTCCTCCCCCGGAATTCCCTCCTACTGCACTTCCCCAACCAATGGGAACTCTCCAGGAGTGTGTAGCAGGCCAAGGTGGACAGCAGGAGTCCAATATCCATATGAATGCAAATCTTAACATAATCTTATCATCTCAATGGCTAGCTGGCGTCAGCTTTCAACCAAAAATGCCATGCATCATATTACTTGGCTGTGGCTCTTAGCAGTATACAGAGAACTCAAAAAACTTAACACCATATACTTTCTAACACTTAATTCTGTCCTCTTCACTTACAGCTTTCAGTGCATTGGGGGGGGGGGGGTTGGATACATGCCATGTTTCTTTAATCTCATTCTGTATGAATACTTAGCTGTATTTGAATTGGAGGGTAATTTACTTATAGAAAATACTCATTTTCAAATAATATTAAACTGTTCTTTTTGTGAGCTAATAAGTAATAAATATCAAAAGATGCCAAGATCTAAGCATGAATCTACACTGAATTAATCATCCTATCAGAAAGCCCTAATTTTTCAGATATGTTAGACCTTCTTGTTTATCTCATTTTACAAGTGAAGTAATTGAGCTACTTCAGGTAAGGTACCATGCCAGGTGTTATGGCTGGGCCTTCTGGAAGAACCCAGATAGTAATGTCCGATCTTTGCCTCAATTGGGGCCCTCTGCTGATTCTTTTGCTATTTCCTTTTTTAAATAATGTTTGAATTCATACTGCGTGGCAGGCACTGGACTGGGCCCCTGGGATTCAGTGCCAAACCAGCTTATAATCCAATAATGTCCCTTTCATTTTACAGGTTATGGCTTTCAGATCACAGCCTATTTCCTCAAGAGAGGGATACACCTCCGCTGCATTGAGAGCTCACAGAATACTGGTAGGGAGCTCATTTCTTGTTTACACAACCAACTTGCCATAGAGAAGAAATAAAAATTAAGAAATAGAAATTCCTACTTCCTTCATTGCCTTCATGTCATTGTATATTGTCAAACATTTGTGATTTTTTTCTCCCAATTGATACTGCATTTACTGAATGAGAATACTGAGCTGGACCACACTACATTTTACTTTCCTGATGCATTTCAGCACTTTCATTGAGTGTCCAGAGTTGCATCTTTATTGTCAGCACACAGCAAGGCCCTGGGATGCAGATCAAGTGTGTACATAAGAAAGCCTTTTCCCAGCCTAGAACCATCAAGACCATTCTCTAAGTGTGAAATTAGGCTACATTCCACCCCTCACTCCCTCAAACCAAGATGTTCACTGAGAAAATGATGTCAGTCTTATCCAGCGAACAACAAAGTTAGAAGATAGTGACCATTCTCCAAGAATTCTCTGAGCATTGGAAAGAAAATTTAACTCAAGTTCCCATCACTATGTCAGTATATACAAAACAAGGACTTTAAAAATCAGCTCTATGGAAGTTTGCCCCTGGAATCTTCATGATACCTCCACTTTCTTAACTTGAAGTGTGCTGCTTGCATATCTTACTCTCTTAATGGATCTTCCACCTTGTTCACCTCTCTTATAAAACTAATTTAGCTAACCTTGTGCCTGGTAAAATACATCCTAGCTATCCTTCTTAATAGGGACTGTCATTGCCTAAATCTATGTAACTAGTAAAATAAAACAACTCTCAATTATAACCAAAACAGAGTAAAGGAATACAGAAGTAGCTTTCTGTTGATACAATACCTGGTACCAAGTATTCCAAATCTATCATTTTTTATTTTCAGAGGAATAAATAGAAGTACTAAATACAGAAATCATTTGATGAACTGGTAATTTTGAATTACAATTGTGATCCACTACTGAACTCTTTCAATTTTTTGATTTGGGAGACAAAAGGGAGACATAGAGTGAATCCTATGGCTTGGTTTCCCCTTCCATAAAATGGGAGACTACTTATTGTTTATCTTAATAATATTTTAAGAACTAATGAACAAATAGTAACTGAATTGATAATTTTGTTATCTGGTTTTTCAAAGGCCATCCATAGTCACCAAGCCAGATGTAACATTCATGTGGGGTCAGATAAACACACCTGGGCCCCAACTTGAGAAAGATGGCTTTCTATTTGGAAGAAAGACCAGACCAACAGGTTAGGCACCAGTCATGGAGGGCATTGAATGTTTGCCTATCTATGTATACTGGGCACTAGGGAGCCATGACAAACTCTTGAGGCAAATAGTAGAACTGTTTTGTTAACCTTCTGTGTTAAGTAGGATGAATTAGAATAAGAGGAAATAACAGTGGTCCAGGGGGTAAAGAGAGATCTGTTGCTAGAATGTCAATTCTTTTGGCCTTTTTGTATAATTTAACCTAGCTGAACAGTATAAGGTGTTCATTGTGTTTAAATTGTGCATCTGCATCTGTTGACATCTCTGTGTTTGGCTTCTGAGTATACCAAATTGACACATTATTACCTCAGACAGTGCCCTCTTGTGCAATTTATGTAAGAGACTCCATTTACATGATTCATAGTATCCATATTTTTAAAAATTGGTCACATGTTTTCTCTTTTAGAAAAATGACTTTATTTCTGTCACAAATATAAATCACATATATTATAAAAATATTCGAGCAATACACCAAGTATTAACAAAGGAAGAGATCCTTTCCACTCATTCAGAATATCCATTGTGATATTCTGACATCACCTCAGAGCTCAGTGGGGGCTGGTAGGCAGACGTACAAGAGAAGATCCCAGTGGTGTTACTGTTTTGTGTCCCCTTCATTGACTGTTGCAGAGTCCTGTCCTGCAATTCATTTGCCCTACCCCATCCAAAAGCTAGTGGCTTTGCTTTAAAAGCTGAAGTAATAGATTACARTTACTATAGTGTAGTTGTCTTGTCTTCACCATGCACCTTTAACCATTCCCTTAATAATCTGAAGTCTTAACAGAAGCTGCTGTTATTATGGTCACATTCATCTTAGGAGTTTGCCCTCTAATGTAGGAGACCTTCTGTAAGACCAACTGACCAAGAAGATGATAAACAAATTACGAAAAACATTAATGTGTCACATTATTTGATTTTTAGCTAATATTCTTCCTTTTTCTCTAAAGTCTACACACTCATTAGAAAACACTGATACTATTTTTCAGATATGCGTTCTAACAAGAAAATAGCAAACTGATACAGAGAGAAAGCTACAAAGGCCCTGCCTGGGGGCTCCATGTGGTATAATGGTCTAGGGGCTCAGGTGGACCAATTTGCAGCCTCCTCAACTCCCTAAGGCTTAGTGCTCATCCTGCCCTATTGATGGCAAACACTGGAAGGATGGTGGGGAAAAGAGACACTCATCTTATATATACTTGCATATTGCCATAGCATAAAATGAATGAAAAAAATATGGGAACACATGTATCTGTGTTCATAGTTTTCTGAAGCCTTCAGTAACTTTATTTTCTTCATTTTATACAGAACTCCGTGTATTCCCTGACAGATTTGTGGTCTGTGTTAGTCAGCTTGAATTTAATCATGATATTTTGGCAAATCAGAATGAAGAATTGGTATGTATAAAAAAATGCCGTAAATAAATAAATCTGCTTCAATGCTGAGTTACTGTAAAAAGTAGAAAAAAGTAGAAAAACAACAGAAGTGTTTTCTGTTGTTATTCAACCATTGAATACTCAGTAATACATACGTTTGGGGACCAAAATTCTTGTGCCTATTTTGCATGTTAATACTGATGCATGTGTTAATTTGTTGTTGTTGTAATCTCTTAGTTCCTGAAGACCCTTGAATATTTAATTTGATCAGCAGTATCTTTTCAACATCAATTTTAAATTAAAAAGCAACACATTGCAAACACTATGATGGTGCTTGGTGATAGTATTCAAATAAAGCAAAATCCACATGTTTCCACTGGAAGTTTTCACTGGGGTCAGTGGCTTTTGAATTTTATTCCATTGTGAATCACTAACATTTTCATGAGAACCAGTATTTCTCCCCAGTGTATTATTTCGCAGCTGATAGGGTTCATTCTCCCTCTCCCTCTTTCCCTCTTTCCCTCTGTCTTTTCTCATGCTAAGCCTTTAGCTCCATCCAGGCCTGTTTCTGTTTCATCAGTTTTCTTCTCATAGAAAAACATAAAACATGCTTAGTGTTGTAGTTTAGAGCTTTGCCTTTTAAGCTTACCATGTACACTTGACAGAGACTCCTTGTATTATTTGTATCTTGCTGCAGTCATGGTTCAATCTACTTACCTCTGTACAAACTTTTTTAATAGTATTAGATGTACAACTTGAAACTTTAACAGAAAAAAAAAATCTAACAGACATTAACCCAGCCTTGAAGTATGACATGATTATTATGCTTCCAAGATAATTTATGGGAATATTAAATTATCCCTGATGTTTATTATTTTTTAATTCATATGAAATTTGAAATTTGGCCTACATAGTCTATAACCAGTTTCTTATCTCATCTTAAACAAATATATAAGGAGACTGTTTCAGAGGCTATAAAAGAGAATAGAGACCCAGGAAAAGTAAAGAGCAGAGAACTTATATTTATATTTAGATTCCTTCTTTTTGAGCAGAGGACTCTTACAGAAAAGCCGGTGTGACCCTTATGTTTCCTCTTCTTCACCCATCAAAAAACTTTACAATGTACATATTAAATGAAATAAATGAAGCAACTTTGGCAAGAAGTAGTAAAAGTTTATCCTTTGAAATATTTCCAGAATGTTGACTTTTCTTAGTAAATTAATAAATTCTTAAATAGTAATGCTGTTGGCATACAGCTTTAATATAATATTGTTTAACTGATTTTCAGAGCAAGAAAGAAACTAATCTGTGGTTTAAGAAAACAACAATTATCTGTGCCAGAAAGTGTTATTGCTTTCAGATGGAATACAGAAGAAATTAGATCTTGTATCTGATATGCAATATTAATACCTAGTATCTTAAATTATTAAGCGGGAATTAAAACATCTCAATATAAATGAAACGTTATCCCCCTTAGGGGCCTTGGTATTTATACAGATGTAAGTTTTCTATAGCTGCTGTTATATAAATCCTATAAGCTGGAGCACTTCCTAAATGTTGAGAATTTTCATTCTGAAAAGTTGACTAGTCTGACCCTTTTACAGTTTCTTTATCTGTAAAGTGTTCGAATTTCTAGCAATAATACTATCACAGCTAACCACGTTATAAGAAAAATGTCATAGACATCATGAGGCTCTTTTCATTGTTTTGGCGGGGGGGTTCTTTTTGGTTGTGGTCAATCTCTGTGTTCATTTTTTCTCTGTGGCCACCTCTTATTGCACTTCACAGATGCACTTTCCCACCAACACAAAAGAGTCAGTGAAGCTCTGTGCACCTTCCCTCCTCCCTGGCCTCTCACCTGAGCACCTCCCCCCTTACAGGCCTCCACCACTTCCTCAGGTTGGCGATCACTAGTGGCTGTAAAATATCCAGGTCAAGTAAGGGGCCCTCTCCTGCAAATTGCTCATCAAGCCAACCACACTGCCCTTCCACCAGAAGTGTCTTATAGCTTAATCCTCATTGATATTTGACCTCTGCCAAGCCTACTGCTCAGATATTTAAGGATCAATAAACAATCCTTCCCTGCCAGAGTTGCCTTCTGCCAGAGAGAAGACATTCTTCTTCCTCTTGATATACTTCAAATGCCCAAAGCCAGTGATGTCAGGCTCCCCTGAGTATTCTTTGAACTTCCTTCAAGCTTTGAATTCTTTTATCAGTTTAAATTGATGTTGGCCTAAGGGCAGGATCCTCTCATTCTCTCTTGGTAGTGATTCTCAAGGAATGTCTGCTGGGCAAGGCCTGGGAACTTGGCTCCAGGAGTAGCTATATTGGCTATAAACTTCAGTTATTTTCCTATAATTGTTTACTTAACTCATTTTTCTACGCCCACAGAAGTGACTGGGAGTGAACTAGTACCTGAGCTAAGGGCTAGGTGCCTTCCTCATGCTGTAGTCCTGGAGGGCACTGATTCTTTTCCTTCACTCCCTCCCACCCCACCCAACCCCATTTGGATCATCAATGTCTCAGTGACAATTTGTTAGAAAATCTGGAAGCGTCTATTCAAAACTGCTCTGCCAAGGAATTCTTTCAGCCTTCAGACAAGAAAGCCAGCTGCACTCAGCTCTCAGTTCTTAAAGGTGGTGCACAAAAGAACCACTGTCCCAGATCAAGCAGTACAAAGGGGAAATCCCCTTCCTTTGCTCCTTTTGGGGCAGAACGAGTGCAGCCGCACTGTCCCCACTCCCCACTACACCAGGGAGGTCTGTTCCCCCTGCAGTCGGCATTTCTCTGTCCACTTCGGGACATTAGTGCAGGGCAGTCCTCCGTGTTGCAATCACTCTGTACAGAGTGCCCATGTGCTAGGGATGTGGGAATTGTGCTGTGTACTTTGGGAAGAAAGGGCATTATTATGAAATGAGTCATTGTATTTTTCTTTCTAGAGTTTCTCATAAGAAATCTCTAAACCCTGGAGCCTCAGTTTTTTGACTATTGCAAGATATGGCGCTGGGGAGTTTTTACCTTTAGTTGTTCTCCTATGCCCCATGTTTTTTTACTTTAGAATTATGAAGAACATAAGGTAAATTTTTATTTCATTCAGCTGTGTTCTGTTCCAGCAATATTTTATTCTTTGCAAACCAAGTCTCTATGTAGAGACTATTGTCTTTCTCAGATGCATAGCCCTGGAACTTTTAGGAAGTTAAAATTGTTAATTTCTATTATTCCTTTATTAAGATTGTATGAATAACCATAGAATTTTATACATATATGGAACATTTCAGGCACAGTGCAAAGCTACTGCTTCATTGTGTGTTGGTTGCAGGCTCTCCTAGTCTCTGGAGGCCACTTCTCATCTACTCTGACCATCACATTTAACATAATTTGCAGAGGGTTAATTCGATGCCAGGAACTCTCCTAGGCACTGGGGAAACAAAGAAAAATAAGAAAATGCTTTTTCGCACAAGGAGCTTACAGTCTAGCAAATCAGGGGTACTGAAGAGTTCCCTGGTAACCTAAAAATATAACTCAAATAGAGCCTCCACTTTTCCTAAAGGTATTTAGTTAGATCCTTCTACCATTCAGAAGGAAAAGCCAAAAATATAGACTGGCTTCCTTACTTTTGAACCTAACCTGTCTTAGGTTCAAAGTCTGTGATCATCTAGGAAATTTAAAAAATGATACATAGGCTGGTGCTGCCTTAAAATGGATATATGCATAACGCAGTGGGTTCTTGGCCTTATACTTCATGTGAGTCGTAGCTGAGACTCGAAAATAGCCTCAGAGGTTCTGCAGAGGGGCCCAATCACACAGGGCTAGGCCCATACTATAGCACCATCTGAATAAGAAGATTACTAAGGTATCTGGGCAAAAGGGACATTTAAGCACCAAATTGGCACTTCTCTTCAGTCAGGCTGCTGTTTAGCATTAAACATCTCCTAGTTTATGAATATAGGATTGAAGTGAAAATTAGTCTCAAGCAATAAACTACCATAGGTTGGGTTATTTTTAGCTTGGCTGTTGTATTCCTCAGCTGTGTGTAATCCAAGCTCTGTGGGCCTTCACCCTCCTCTCAATCAAATGGGGTGGGGCGAGGGTATCAGATTATCTCATCCTTTCTCACACAATTTCTATCAGAGGAAGCAGATGAAAATGTAGCTGAATAAAAACTATAAAATGATTTTACACACAAAAAAGAGCTTACTGTTAGAATTTTTAAATTGTGATAAAAACCATTTAGGGCAGAGCTGTATTTTATTTTGGGAAAGATAAATAGTACTTACAAGGAAACACTTTGGCCTTACATTTTTAGAACAAAAGAAACTGCTTAACAGTTTGTTCACTGGCTTCTATACTCTCCCGATGACAGACTTTTTTTAACTTTCATAAGGGAATATTTGCATAAATATAAATGAGCTCATTCAAGACAAGAACTGTTTTTAACATTAAAAAAATAGTGGATAATTTTTCCAGGTTTTCATAATATATTGTAGATTTTAAAAATTCATTATTCTCATTTCTTATTGTGTTTCCTAAACAATACCAGTGGTAAATTACATGGAAGCCATTAAGAAGAGAGTTCTGCAGCACTAGGAAAAGTTTCTTGAATGAACAAAGGCTACTTCCATATTCACATTTTTCAGTGTTCTGAAATTAGTTCTTCCTTAATAACTGATTACCAAAATTGTACAACTAATTTTTAAATCCAGATATACACAAATAAAATAAAAATTACTCAAATTTTTCAGCCCAAAGATAACCCTCTGTTACCAATCAAATCTGTATCTCTCCATACTTCATACTTAAAAAACTGAAGTCACTGTGTATTTATTTTAACTAGGACCCTACTCATTTGTGAATTATGTTTTTGTACCTGTTTTTCTGTTGATAATGATATTTCAAAGACTTCTTATATATAGTATATGTAAGACTTTATATAGTAAGGAAAGTAACTTTTAGCGAGTCTGTCTTTTTCTTTTCAGTCATATGTCATTGCCTAATGATAGGAATCTGTGTCCTCAGCTCTG